TTGTAGATCGCTCCTCTTTTAGGGGAAAAAGTTTGCTCGAGCAAACTTTTTCCCCTAAAAGAGGAGCGATCTACAAACGGTTCCTTTCGCATGGTGAGACGCCTTCGAAGGCGAAGTGGGGTCGAGGCATATCTGCTCCTCCCTCGAACAGAGAGCATGAGTTTATATCAGCAGGGGCTAGATGGTAAATAGTCCCCTACCACGCTGACGATTGACACAAGCGACATGACTCAAAACCACAGAGCAAAAATGATCAATATGAAGAGGCTATCTAAACTAGATTTACTTTACTTACTCAACCGAGATAGCCCACCTCGTTTAACGGTCAAAAAGTATGACATTGTTCAAGAGCACGATGGTTGCGGTGGCTGTGGTCATACCATGACTTTTCACACTGCGGATTCCCCTTCAAGCGTCCAGGAAAACATCTGTGTCCCTGATACCGGCAGAATGCGGGAAAAGGAAGTGCTTGATCTGTATCTATCATCACAAAATGCTGGGATGTCTTATCTCCCTTACTCTAGTTAAAACAGCCTCTTTCTGTTTATTTTTGACTTCGGTTCATATCATCCCTAATATATTCGGAGAACTCCTTTTTCTCTTCTCTCATCCGGAGGAACATTGTTCCTAATCGGAGCTTACACGTGATTAGCGAAATGTCAGATAACGTGCCCACGGGGTAATTGTTATTCCGATATATCGTTAGTGATTAGTCATGTTCCCTTATTTACCTAGTAGGTGACTTTAGCGATACAGACCACCTCATGTTGGAGTCGTTTCAACTGGTAGCTATAACTACGGACTAGTGACGGTCCGAGGAAAATGCTCAGGATTTTGCATAGTCCCAAGGCATACTCGATCATGAATAGCTTGCTTTTACTCTATACTTTAAAGCTACTCATTATTTGCGCGCTACAGCCCAAGGGGTAATTTGGCTTTTATTATAGATGTTCAGCTATTATTATGGTGCCAATCCGTAAAATGGGCCGGGATTAGCAGCTCTTGTACTACCACAGTGAGAAACCAACCTGCTATTGACACCTCGATTCAAATCTCTACCAAAAAAGAAAAACCCACTTTGCTGACTGTAGTATAAAGTCTGTTCTTGAGACTCAATTAATCATTCGCATTCTCCATCAATATTCCATCAAATGTGAGTTATGACCTGTTTGAGCATAACAATAGTTCGTTCCCTGCTTTCAGCTTTCATACCGCGCATTCTATCCCCAGACAACCCGCGTGAGACGGTTATATTCGGAGGACCAGATTCCAATCGAAGTTCGATCCTCGATTCCATGAAGTCAGATATTCCCACGATGTCGAAAGAACAGCCTATCTTGATTTTATCTCCAAGCTCTGGTGTTCCTGCAAAAAGCCCAGTACCACAACGCTTGCACGTAAGTGCTCATCTCTTTCATGTTCACACAAGCCTCTAACCAAACAGACCATGCGCATTTGGTTTCCTCACAGTGGCATTGAAATCATGAAAGATGTCAAAAAGAATGGCCTCGATGATGTGGTGCTTGATGCCATTGCTCTTCGAGAATTTGGTGCTAGGCATCAAGCCCAGGATGACCATGGCAACACGATTGATGCATTTCCAGTCGATCTTGCGGTTCTCGAGGCTGGTATTTCACGAGTTTGGGGGAAATATGGCATTCCAAAATTCGTTCCTCTGAGCAGTGACGATCCGATTATCTTGAAACAACCGACAAAAGACCCGGAAGCGAAGAAGGGTCTTTGTTTCCAGCGCCTACATTCAAAATATCTGTACGAGTATGGAAGAAGGCAAAGTCTCGCAAAAGTTTTGGGATATGAGATGCCTGTGAATTTGAAGGACTGGTATGAGGACACAGTGCAAGACATTGGCAGACGCCTAGAAAAGCTCGGTTACTATTGATCCGAAGGGATATAGTCCAAATTGGGGAAGCAAGAAGGCGAACTTTGAGGGTGCTGTTTAAGACAATGTTTGGGCATGGACTTTAAGGTATTCTCCTCTTCACTATTGTGAAGTCGTCTCAAGAAAACAACCAAGAGCTGTTATGCTCCAGATATTCGGTGATCAAAATAGTGTCATCTACGCTAATTCATATCATTACCATATCTGAGACCTTGTAAGAAACTTCCCATAATGAAGTGAAGTCACTCTCAGGAATACAGTCCGTACCGGCGCATTTACAGAAACCTCCTGCTTCTCGAAACCTAGCAGGTATTGATCAGCACTAGAGCGCTTGCGGTAGATTGCTTTGTTTTCCATTCCCAGACTAACGGAGAGTCACTTAAGGCGAATCAACACCGTTCTATTTTTAAAATCAGGATAGGGGGCATCAAACTAAAGTCTGGATAATCTATAATGAAGATTGTATAAATTTCTAAAATAGGCTTTCTTCCAGCCAATATTCACGAATTACATTCAGCATCGAAAAAAACCACCTCTTCTAGCAGTTGGTAATTCAACTAGAAGATGTTGGTCTCGAAATGCGATGGCCTTCGCAAGTCTAGAGCTTGGTGACGAGCAATTCAGAATGCACATTACAAGGGAAGTATGCAGGTACGTGCATGCTAGAATCTTATCCCCGGAGGAACATTTAGTGCTGCGCGTTGTGGATAGACCTGGCCGGAGGGTCCAAGGTCAGGACCCTCCACCCGCCAAGGGACCCTCAATGAGGGTCCCTTTTTCATAAGGGTGTATAAAACACCATCTATAAGCAGAAAATTACTTATTTAGGCGTATTTATGCGTCAGAATATTACCTAAGAGGGTCCAGGGTCAAAATTTGGACCTTCCTTGGCGTCTTGGCGGGTCTAAATTGAGGGTGAGTGCCAGGTCTAGTTGTGGATTTGCTCTCACGAGTAATACAAGTACACGAAAATGTACCATTTTGGCATGTCCATCACGATGCGTGACCAGGAGCTGGAAATCCTTTCTCTCGGCGCTTTCCTATGGCATTCTTTAATCCTTTATGTTACTATTCTGCTCTGCGTAATTACTTGTCGCCACATTCGAGAAGTTTTGTTCTATGTGTGTTTACCTCGGCCTTTTCGTTACAAGACTTACAAATGTTAGTGAAGAGTAAGATATAAGTTGCGGTCTCGTCCCTCAGCAACCTTTATACCCTGCCTCCTCGACTTAGTTTAACAGCATCGCCGTGAAATGATCATGAACCGAAGCGATCCGTTTGTTATGGCAAGATGTGCACTTGAATGGCTTCAAAACCAGCAGGTATGTAGCCTTGATGATTTTGTTTCATGTCTGACAGATTCAGGCACACCTGGGAGCAGATTGGAATTTTCATCTCGCTTATAAAATCATGGATAAAAAAATACGGCAATGGGGTTCCACACGTGGTGGAACTGTTATAAGTGGAATGAAGATATCTGAGACCATAGGAATATTCGAGGGGGAGATGGAGGTGACGAAAAGTGTTTTGGTTGTGAATAGTACCATTTAATTGATGTCAAACTCTATCACGCTTTACAAAGCCGATAGGAGGGATGATGTGTTGGCAACAAAGACGTTAAGCCTGTCCTACTTTCCGCGCGATCTTTACCAAAATGAGAGTCGAAGGGCACAGGATTCATCAAGCAGTCAACAGAGCTAAGAATCTTACGTACTATAAGTTTTCTCCAAGAGAGCCTAGTTCTGGAGAGGAGGAACATATAAGATCCTGGTCCCACCAAGGGGATTGGGTAATATTGGTAGCCCCTGCAGCGTTGGAGATAGAGCCTTTTTATTACTGCTCTAACTATGAAGATCATTCTTTACCGTAATTAAGCGGACAAATCACTCCACCACCTAAGGCCTGCCATGCATCACCACCCAAAATACCAAAATAGTGCTCTCAAACTGTCATTCTTTACTTTTTCTAGACCTAGTGGGTTTTCCGTGTTGAGAAGTCCTTAAACTCCACAAAGTAACTATCTGCACCCGGAGGTCTACCCCAGCATCCAATCGGTGTTCAGAATTAGTCTTGACAGGTAATGAATTTTTCATTTTCCAGACCTGCAGTTCCGTTAGCTAGCTTCCTGCCCTTGAGAATCTTCTCCGTTCCATTCCGGTCTCATTTAGGCAGAACAAGGTACGATCATTGTTTCAGGTTACGCGTATAAATCTTTTCGTACCCGTCAGACAGAAAATTCAGTTTCTCATGGAATTCCCTATCTACGAAGCGCCTTCAATGCCTGAACTTGATACTGCTTTCAGGAAGGATGAGCACCTTGATTCACCTTGCGATTTTTATTTCATGATTCCTACGCTATCATTTCCAAATGCTAATCTTTCGTGGACAATTTACCATGGCACCGATCAAGGTTCGTCTAGAATATCAAATAGTAAAGGGTTATAGCTAATGGCTGTAGTGGTGATTGCGATCGTTACACAGTCGAATGAACAATATTTTGCTTGCCCATGTACTAGAGAGCTTTCAAAAAACTGCGAGGTTTTGTTTCCTAGTGAATGCCCTATGTTTTCCATCCCACAGATCTACACGGGCATGATGCAGACATCTCGTGAATCCACACTCAACGGGACAGCCGGAAGAGCTATTTTGGAGTTTTTGGATTGGGAAATGGTATATTCCAAGGACAGCACCATCAAAAGCTCAGCAAAGATTGCCAAAAAGCTCCAGAAGAGGGTATCTGTTCGCACCAGTGGGGTGCTGATAGAATGTCCTTGGAGATATGATCTGCCTCTAAAATCAGGAACATTGGTGGATCTGAGAAAGGTGGATGATTTGTGGTCAATTCAGGTGGAATTTGAAGACTTCTCCTCTCCTGGAGTGAGATTTGGTGATCTCGCAGAGCTGGCAGCATGCCTCCACTGTTGATAGAGTGAGAGTTGGCTTTTTGTTACAGCCTCACAACTGTATTCAAACCGTAGCTGACCGAATAGTTTCTCTTCTTCGCGCCAGCCTGATAGACATGGCTAGCTGAGACGGCCCCCAAACCTTGCCACACATCTAGTGTATGAACACCCCGAAGGGCAAAGCAGAAAGTTCACAATGTACAATCCTCAGCGAAGTCGCGTGTTGGGCCCGCATCGTTTACTAGAAATGTTATGGTTTGATAATGTGCTCGAAATATGAAGTGTTTCCTGATACGTAGTTACATTACCGTCTTCTAGATGACGTTCTGTAGTGCCCACACCGGTCGTGCTACTCATTCGAGACATTATAAGGGACACATTCCCCCATCATTGAAAGGTGTCATAGGTAAATTCCATCTTTCCCTTTACAGTGCAAGACCCGAACCTGCTAAGTTGGAACTGGGCTTCTTCTGATTAGTCCCTATTTCTCCGCAGATATGATATCCACCCAGGGCATGTGGTACAGCGGCAACTTACAATACTCCGCCATGGAGGTTGTAGGATATACCAAACTCCAGACCACCGCCCCGCCCCAGGACATGGCCACAGAGGTGGAAAGGTCTTTCCGGTCGCGACCAATTGTAGTGTCAGGGCCCGTGACATATGGGAGAGGAGACCATGACGCATGCGAAAGCTATTTGAAATTCGGAATTCAGGATGGTGATGTGTGTTCATCAACGCGTGGCAGATATACAGAGCTAACATCCATGGAAGTTCACCAGGAAGATCGAAGAAGTGATCGGAAGGCCCGCTTTTCTTCTCCACCAAGGCCCGGTCGTCGTCCACTCGCCCAATCTTCCAACCAACTGGGGAATCAATGCCGCCCACCCGGTCCGAAATGGTGTCTCCGTCTTCCGAACCCTGTCGGGTGACCTCGAGGCCAGAGTGACAACCTTGAAGCTCTATCCGATCTCCCACCACTTGTCGAGTGCCGAATTCGCGCAGGAAAGGGGAACACCGAGAACTTTCAACTTGCGATCGAACGAGGTACTATTCGTGCGAGGCGCACTCAAGATGGAGATTTCACTGCCTGCTGGGGGATTTCTTGCGTGGCAAGGATTTTCCGAGGATCCGTGGGGGATGGATCCGTCAGCCCCTGAAGCTTTTGCTTTTATGAAGATCTAGTGGGGGACTCTCGAGTTGCTTGTTGAATCTCTCGTGCTGCACAGCGCATCTCTGTCGATAATACCTTAGCTAGGGAATATAGGCAGATTGTCCATGTAGCTTACCGGGATAGATTCCATGGATACATTGGTAGTTGAGCCTCAGGCGAGTTAGACGTCGCGCCCAATGTGTGACGTATGCAAAGTCACCGCCTCGCAGCATTTCCATTGTTCGGACTTCTTCAGACAAGGATAGACCGCGCAAGGCGGGAAGGACGGGTAACCAAAGGAGCGTAATTCCATGTCCAAATTCACATTCAAAGCGCACCAGCCTGCGTCCATGTTGGAGAGCCTTTTTGGTGTTGTGATTGTCGGACAATCCTTCTTCTTGAATAAAGGCAGACATGGTTCCGAAACGATGGGGCCCTGAGCATGGCGTAGATTCATTGCGTCCAGTCCGTTGAAGCCAGTCTTGCTCCCGCAAAGCTAGGTTGGTCCAGTGGTGGACATTTTGGAGCCGCTGTATCCAGCATTGGGTATTATTTCCCATTGCCATCAGCTCGGTAGCCCGCCGTATTTCCCCTTGTACTAAGCTCCCCTCTAAGATGACAGAGGGGGGGGGGGGGGGCTGTCAGATAGTTATCCAGAAGCAGTATAGATCAGACTGACTGCAGGAATTCGACCTTGGCTCTAGACACAGATGGAATCTCAATGTCGGCGCGTCTGGCTAGTGCATCACCCCTGAGTACCAAAGATGCATTCGTCGCTGTCCTATTTATTAATCATGCTGCTCAACCCTTGATTACATCTCGATGGTCTGTTTGCACATGCTGAAGTGGACTCTCTATCTTCTGGCTTATTTCTCTGGATCCCATCCTGCTATGTACATCTTACAATTCCTCCAGTGCTTCGGTATCCCAAAGGTATGAAAGAAGGATGTTCCGTTCTGATCTGGCACATGCTGATCCTAGCCTTAGAGAACAAGTGTCACAACAACAAAGACCCCTGGTACACAGAAAATGATGATTTTACGCAGCAAATGCTCCATTGTCAGCGTACCTCCGGATTTGGAAAAAAGCATGGAGTTTTCCAGGCCCGGAAAGGTGGATGCTGCCCGGTCTCAAGTCGTCAAAGTGTGGTCCATCAACTACACTTTCATTGAGGGATTCAAAAAACCATTTATTGATACCTTGGAAATTGAAATGGCATTTGATGGGGCGAAGACTGTGATGAAAACCAAGACGTATACCGATGTGATTGGGATGGATGGAGGCAAGGATGCAGTGGCAGAATTTGGGCCTGTTTTTTTATAAGGGGATCAACGAAGCAGAAATAGGGTATATCTAAGGCCACTAATTTGGTATGGCTGTGCACACTTGTCTCCTGGTATGAACTTGAAATCAGAGCCATAGGAGGGCATCTGAAAAATTATCAGTGTATATTTATTTCGATAATTAATTAAACCACCGTTTAATTCAGGCCACAGCGAATAATAAAGTCAATCCCACTTTACCAAACTTCTTCTTTGTCGCTCACATGCGCGACGTATCACAATTAGAGCATTATCAAGATATCGCTCTCTCCAGAGCCAGATCAGGACCCACAGGAAGAAACGGCTTACGGTTGGCCATATTGCCGTATTGGACCCAAGTTCCACATGTTTGACCTGATGCCGGTTTTTGTTAGCACAATGGGGAGGGTATGAAGTCTGAACCATACCATATATGGAATGTCCCAAGGCCAGAAGCCTTCGCCCCCCGCGACCTGCGACTTCTTCTTTCGACATTTCACATGAGCCATGGTTGATTGGGTATGGTGTTTACGAACTGGAATGGAAGAGCAAGCCGGGCTCCCTAGGTTGTAGCCACTGTTTGATGGTAATGTTTATTGAGCAGTTTACAGGGGTTGGAGGAATTTGCTTCACCTAGATAGTATTCCTAGCTGCAAGATTGATGACCGGCTGATGACAACATCAATCTCACTCTAAACGGTCTCATATCGCTTGTGGTCCTGTCCCTTATCAAATCGATCTGACCTGCCCATCAACCGCGCTCCATTCCAGACGACTCTCCACCACTACATAGAAAAGACATCAACCCTGACTTGTGCCTCTCAGCGAAATGTGCGAGTATCCGATAGGTAGCAGCTGCCATAGAGCTTCAGGCTGTCGACTACCCATATCAAGTCTTTCTCCCGCAAAAGTATTCTAAGAACTCGTCTGCACTCAAGTCGTGGTTCACAAACTTGGCACCTCGGCTAATTTTGACGTGGTTCATTTGGCGAAAGGAGGCTGGGTCTTCTGCGCCTTTCTGTATACTTCTAACCTATAGCAAGATGTGAGTAGCCTGTCGAGCCATGAGACTGACGATAGGAAATGGTATCATACGGTGCAAACATCCTGGTCAAGCGAACCAGATTCCACCACAATTGGCGTCCGACTTTTCTGCTCCGGCAGTTGTCTAGATTTGTCCCCAATATTTTCAACGGTCCCGTTCATGATTGATCCGCCATTAACGACAAAATTTGACACGGAATGTATGGCGGTGTTGGCTAAAGAATTTTGTAATCAGGAGACACGTTTGGTGAAAGTATTCATGGTGGGTTGTGGAAGTACCTGGGTTGATGTTTTGTTCGCCGTTCTGGTTACTTTCGAATTCCTATTGATATCATCAATAAGCTATATTTATACATTACGAGCAAGAATAGTTTAGCAGAAACATACCTTGTTGTCCTCATTTACCTGCGGTTGCGCCGTCCCCTCCCCAGGTACCGGTGATTCCTGATGGGAGAGTTGAACATCGCGAAGAGCTATCTCTGATTTCTTGTATGTGATAGTCATGATGATAAATTATAGAGTCAAAGGCCAGAGTGTTCTGAGTAAATAGCGATGAGACTGATGAGAGGAAGATATGTGATGACGGTGGAGATGAAAGGAGGCCGGCCGCCTCTTGTACCAATTTAACACTCACATTACTGGTGTATACACTGTAATAACACTGCTATGGAATGTTATGTAAAATTTAGGTGTGGGCCTGCAGCGAAATAGATAGCCACTGGGACGCCCGGCCAACATGACCGATAGGGTAAGAGGACGAAGAGCGAAGTCCACGGGCCTTCTGGGTATCAAGGTCCCGTGGCCAATGATGGTCAAGTCATGCTCCGCCTGTCCCAAAAGAAGGAGGAGTATAATCGGCTAGACACTGCCAATAGCGTAAGTACCAAAGAAAAGATTTCGGCAGAGTGTGGAAGGTGAAGGAAATAGTCTGCTTATGTCTGGCGCTCATTACGTATGACGGACTTCAATTGTAATGATGGTGAGCCTACTACTATAAATGGATCGGCCACAGAATTGGCCGGTTTTCATAGGCCAAGAATGTAGGCGAAGAGAAGGTTCAGACCAGAAAACTTGGGGTCGGTCCGGGTCACATCGGAACACCTATTTGAGGCAAGAGCGCCTATCCTCTGATCCACTGACCCCTTGCAAGTCTGGTTACTAAATTACCTACTAGAGTGGCGCATTTAGTGTCGTTCTCGCCAGAAGGGAGGACCAGCCTCACGCACAGGCATACAGATCACGCCTTCCGCTCCACGCGTGTGCTTTGGCCTGAATGCAGGCCCCAAACTTCTTCCTACTCGTCCAACTAAAATTTCTTCCAGGTAAGCCAACCCCGTGAGCTATCTCAAATTTCAAGATCTCACCCAACTCATTGCTGTGGCAGAATGTACCATGACGAAAATCCATCAAACATCAACAGAAGCTTCCAGCTAATGGGAGCCCTGACAGACTACCCCTATGGCGAAACATACACTCCATTAATAGACTCATTTTCCGTCATTGATCCAGCAAGTGGTTATCTTTGGGGATTTCAACAAGCGGAAAACTGGATGACAGCACCTGCACCTTCGACCATCACTCAATCTCGCCGGCCAAATTTCGGATATCGAGAAATAAGACCTCGACCGCCACATATACCAGCGCCCACAGTAACTCCAAATGAGGCGCATGCAGAGGAACAACACACCCAGCTCCGTGAGTTGGGGCGAGGGATACACTTGAAGCGCCAAAGACAGTCGGACCACGAACAGGTTCAAAGGACAACCAAAAAGGCGCGTCCAGCGGTATGTGAGGCTGCTGAAACGACCGATCAACCAGTGATCATTAATAAAATTAGGTTTGCATGGCTTCATTTCCGAACCGGTGTTCCTTGCGATGGCTAAATGGACTTTTACAGCAGAGCGAAAAAACCGCCAGCGCCGAGATACGGTTCAGCCACGCAGGGTCCATCCTCTAGGTCGCCTGATCAACCTACATATCAACAAGAGGGTACTGCTAAGTGTTCAGCACAGGCTGTTCAGGAATCCTTGAAAGTTCAGGTTTTACAATCAATCAAGGTGTTGCGCGAGATCGCTAGGAGCTTCCGTGCATTGAATCTGGAACTTGAGACAATCGATGGTTGGATATCAGAGATCAAAGGTGCTGACGCAACACTCATTCCTGTTCCTTCAAGCACTGTGGCTCAGATTATTGTTCCTTTCGAAAGCCTAAGTCTCATTCTCACGGAATGCCTCACTGCTTCAGGCCCCATGCGAGGCTTTGTTATCAGGGATCAGGCGCTCGAGTTGTTGAAATATATACACACATATGCGGAGGAGTACCACTTATTCCAGAATAAACGGGTATATTTTGACATTGGTAGATGGTTAGAAAGACTTAGCCCAGGCAACCATGATGAGCAAGGTGAATGATATGATTCTCCCGGAGAGCGCCAGTAGTCTGTTGCTCTTTTCATACAATTTTCTACCAGCTTTTTTTTCCACATTTGAATACATTAAACATCTTGTGAGCATTCTGTTTAATGTCCCACAGTCAAGATGTTCAATGGCGTTCTGGCCGTATTGAGACATTGCCACTCTGCCTTTTCTAAACCGAGTTCTAAGACGATGTTCCAGAGAGTTCCACCCGTTTGCTCCTCTCAGTGCCATCACTCTTTCTTGGGGGACAGAATGTATATTGTTCAGTCCAACAACCCTGGGTTCAATAGTACACTTTCAGTGTTTACTGGCTCCACCGTGATGGCCTCCGATCTTGGGGATGCAGAGGTACCTTTAAAGGACTCATGTACATTTCACATCCCCAACACTCTTTTGTACATTTGATAACAGGAGTATGTTTGGTGCACAGTTTCATCGTTTGCCCTTCCCATTTGTATGGTGTGCGGTACACTTGATCGGATCGACTCGTTCGCGTAAGTACTGATGTAGAATGTAAAGTCTATTAGCTGGTGATTTTCACGGTGGGTAGGAAGTGTGGGATTTAACAGAATGACTTGCTTTATGGCTTTCTTGCATAGCGTGTGGTTCATCTGGCGTTCGTTGAAAATGCCGACTCGTGCTTGTTTGACAATCGGGTAAGAAGCCAACTCTTCGTATACGGAGAAGGAGGCCAGCTAGCTCTAGAGATATGTGAGTTAGTCTGCAGGAACTGAATAGATGCGAGAGGATAGAAAGGGGAAGTAAGTTTGGGTGAAGAATAGGAAGCGGACGTCCAGTAAGAGTTCGCACACATCGACAATCAAGAGAGACCTCTCATGACTTGCTCCCCAACAGCGATCCTTCTACCAGTACTGCATTCGTTGGCTGTACAGGCAAGCAGTAGTAGCCTGAAAGGGTCTGCAAAGTTTTTCGCTTGCGTGACATTTGCTTCGGGTGCGATCGCTGCTCGAAAGGTGTCAGATATTGTTTTCGGTAATGCATGTGGGCTTTTTCAAAGAAACAAAAGGCCTCGACTGGTTTGAGTTGGTACACGTTGTTGCTGAATCCTGGTAATGTGAGGGAGGAGGCATGGGGAAAGGAGAAATGTATCACTGACTGTCCGTTTTGGGTAAGGGACAGTTGGGTCGCCTGCTCGCCACCCTACCCTGGCGCACCCAACAATCCTGCTCACACTTGTCTCGTGCTACCATCAGCCTTCCTACCAAAGGACACAATCTATGCCTATGCTGTAAGCTTCCTTTCTCTCTTTGCATTTCCGTTAATTTGGAGCTTACTGAACCCTCCCTGACTCAACAATAGATGAGAACCAGCTTCCACGCCCATAGCGCAACAATTGCTTCTTTTCCACCATGAAATCTACCTGATACCGAGAGACAGTTTTGGTCAGTTCTTCTTCACCTGCTAATATGCTTGAGGTTGTTCATGCGTCCACTGAAGAGCCTTCACACCGGATTAATATGGACGCCCTACACGATCTCTCATCCGGCTACATAGGCCCCTCCAGTGGCTCACATGTTTATCGCCTAGAACTCCCTAAAATAGGTGACAGATTCCATGGGAATGGCTTTCAAGCCTACCACTTGTCTCCGACAAAACCGTCTAATTCCTTTTAGCAACGCCATCCGCGCCATCACTGCATCCCAGATATCGCTAGAGCCCACACTTCATTCCGAAACGACCATGATCCCGAAAGCTCCGAGAGAAAGTGACGCGCTGAGGCTTAAAGAGGTCGAAAGAATAAAATGCGACACAAGCGCACAAAAGAGAGACGTGGTGAGTCAACACCAGATCAAACGGAGGCGGGCTTCAACATACTCGTTTTAGCTAGGGCCGAGAGACAGAAGTTGGAATCAACAAAGCGTTCAATGCTTTTAGGAACTGAAATACTGACACAGATCATAGCGAATCAGTTCAAAAGCGAACCAGCGGTCAAAGTACAAACTGCCACCTGAGCTCCACGAGGAACCCCCTCCGCACCTCATACACTTTCATCCGCGAACGACCTTTCAAGCCCGACAGGAGATTGGCCGCCTCTGTCTCCTGACCATACCTCTACATTTACTTTCACTAGTCGGCCAGCCTACCAAGCCGGACTGCGCTTGTTCCTTGATTAAGAAGATACTCTGGATAGAGGAATACATATTGACCAAGTCGGTTCCCGAGGTAAGTTTCTATCGGAATTGCAGATTATTTTGCAAGCACCCGTTCACTGCAGCTGTTGAGCATTGCGCAAGGCTATATGACGAAGTGCTTGTGATTCTTGGACACCATGGCCTTGATGCGTTTGTGAGATAGATGGCAGATAGTGAAAGGGTGAATACTTGAGGGACTATCGTTACAAGTATGAGCTGCGGGATGAGCGTGGTCATTGATCGTTGTCATGAAATTGATGTTTCAAGGTTGAAGTTCTTCATGTCGATCGACGGTCGATACAAATACTGATCCCACGACACTCCCTTACTATGTGCCACTCGTACATTCTTAGATATTTGAGGCATCCGGGTCTACATTTGTTGGATTCAACGTAAGCTCCATAACCACCATTGATTTAAATGTTGTCCGACCAGACTAGTATTTCCTCCCTTCACGATAGGACCGGATGTCTAGTCCCAGTTGAGCCTGCATTGACCGAAATGGCATTGGGTGCTTAAAAAAACATGAAAAGTTTGCATGCACGCTCGGCAGCCTCCTACGGTATTACCAGTCTCACCTTCAGTGCATATTTTCTAATACAGAAAGAACAGGGTCAAGTACGGTTGTATTTATCAGTGGCTGCTTCTGTATGTCCAATAATTCAGAGTCTCCCACTGGCTTCTGTCTGGGCCAAGGTCCTGTTCAATAATGTACCTTTGGCACTTGATTCATCTTGGGTCACTTCCATCAAATAGCGCTGCCTGGCACCTTGGGTTCTAGGAACATCCATATCTCAAACCGGGATAGATCGGCGCCAGTACAAGCCCCGTTGGTCAATCGATTCCCAGCAGGTAAGATAGAGATACTATTGGCCGGTGAGATTTCAGGGGCTTGATGGCTAGCTTGACATTGTGGGAACCCTACTCCAGGGCTAGGTTCCTGGGCCAAATATATCATTGTGCCATTTGATGTCTGATCACTTCTGCCATCTTGTACTACACCTCCCAATTCTGCCCTCGATCTCTGGCTCTGTCGACGAACATGTCGTCATCACCTACCTTGGAGTCCTTACCATTTGATATTCTCTTCCAAATAGCAGTCTACCTCGACGTCCGAGACTATATACACATCAGTCACTCGAGCCGCTCAATGTTTAGCTCAATGAAAAACACCATCATTGCACGGGCTACTGTCAAGGTGAGCAATAACGAATGAGGAAACAGAAGTTTTCTACCCACTATGGACCAACTCACAGTGCTGAATCTTATCTAAGAATACTATGCTTTATAGTAAAGAAGGACAAGCGGCTTGGGCTGGCAAGGTCGGCCATTATCAGGCCATCCAACATCGCTTTGATATTCATGAAGCGGTTGCCACTGCGTCCCCATATTCTGTTTCAGTACTGGCTTATGCCACAGACTTCTTGTACCACCAAGGCCTTTTGTGCTATCGATTCAAAAACCAAATCCGTTTGCTGAATGTACACGATGCAGGCCAAAAAGAGCGTGTTTTGGACCTCGACCATGTGATCCGTCGCATTATCGGAATTGAAAACATTCTCTCGGATGTGGGAGAACAAACCACCCTTCTACGGTTCAGTTCCGGGATCTTGATCCTTCTGGTCAATCAAACCAACTCAAATGAGGGTATTCTGATCGCGGTTGACTTACAATCCCACCCTGGCCAGGCTCGACGGAGACGTTTGCTTCTCCAAGAACCAGTCTCCTCTTCGGATCCAATTTTTGTCCGACATACCAGACTGTATATCTGGTGTGGCACTTTCACTCCCGCCAATGGCCAAGGGATTGCATGGCAAGTATGGGGCATGGACTTTAGAACGCTTCAACGAACCGAGTTTTCCGTGGAACGTATTGTCGATGGCGAGCTCGACAAGACAATATGCTTCGAGGTCTACCAAGGACATCTTTATGTGGTATTAATTATAGACGACCGAGAGTCTTCCTTTTACCACTGGTCTTGCTACGCCCCGAACTGTGGAAGCAAGAAGGGCAACGGACGGCTTTGGCGCCGTGATCATCGCGAGGGCCCTATCCATGAGATGTGGGCTGATCTCTCCATACAAGTGGATGAGAAAAAGGGTCGACCTGTTATCCTCGAATGCCGCCGTGAATGGCTCGACGGAGGAAGCGAAAACCATCGTACCTACTACACTACGCCTCTTCCTACACCAGACGAAGCCCTTGCAATGCAATCAGCAGAGGGGCTTACCCACCAGGGTGGTCTAGTTGATTCGGATGATGAGCACAGACAGTCATCGGAAAAGCGACTGGCTCGCGATTGTCACGCTGAACATGAAACAAGCGATCCTCTGGACCAACGACGCGATTTTATCCCGGCATATACTAGACACAGTAGCTACCACTTGGCGGCGGCGACCTATATTGATCTGGTCAATGATCCCAAGTCCCAAGCTGATGGGGTGCACTTCCAACACTGCTTACGGCTGCGAACGAAATCACGAAATCGCGACCGTTCTGATGAAAGGGGCGTGGGACGATATCGCAGTCCGCTGTCAGACCCAGGGCAGTCGCAGGCAGACGGGCCTTCAGTAGGAGTCTCTGAAGGTTATTTTCACGCCCATGGTGTTTGTTTATGGCCCTCCGTGAATGCCCCCTCAAAGCTGCTGGAACTGCTGTGCCCAGATAAGTCCACCAGTCTTGTTCGGGCCGTTTGTGATGAGCGGTCGCTTATATACTCTACCTCTGCTGAAGGATTGCCACCCCATCACCATATGCTGGTTCTCATCAGCTTCGACCCTATGATACGTCTTCCTTATCTGATCTCCCTGCGCAACCAGAAGGCGAGTACAAATTCAACCCGAAAAGTGCTTGATGCACCGCGGCCTGATTTTCAATTTTCCCGCCCGCTCGTACACAATGCGGACGCATTTCACCTAGTTATTCGTCAAGGCTATCGACCATGATACAATTTCAGCTTCCAACTTTCATGCTCAAGGGATAAGAATGGAATCATGCTTTGGTAAATTTGTGGCATATCTTCTTCGCTAGTATTACTTTGTTGGGTCTACCGGCGTGATAAAAGATGACGTTATCATGCCGATTACCCATTGCTCTTCGTAGCTTTGAACAGGGTCTATATTGAACTCCACTTAATCCTGCTCAGTAATGGGATAATTAGCAAGAGGGGCAGCCTTGCCGCTCGGTTGATGCCGTTGGTTGGGCTTGGTGATGGACCAGGACCGTGCAATGTGCGGATGTTCACGGAACCTTTTTACGGAGTTATAGATATGGGACTTTGCTGAATCTGTGTCTTTTGAAAACCAACAGCCAAGACCTGTTGCTATGTGTGTGTACAGATATGGAGTGCCAAATCATTGATGGAGGCCTCAGTGAAATCCAATATCGGATACTTTACTTGCAATGATAACCCATCATGTATGATAGTTTTGTCAACTGGTGGATAAGTAGGCCCATCAGGAAATAGTTCTCTCTGGACATTAGACTGCTCTTCTCCTAAAAGGTGGACTGATCGTACACTGGTGAGAAAAATATGATTGATATTGGACGACTCAACGGTAAAACACGGAGGTCAACGAAGCCAACAGGAAACGCGAGTGTGCCATGGAGAATAGTTCTCAGTGCATTTAAATCTGCTCGGAATGTTGAGAATATCAGGATCAACTCTTGCAGTAAGAAGGACTTTGAGATGCTGTTGACAATATGTGCATCAGGAGCATCATAAAGATAGCCAGTATTGACGCACCCTTTTGCGTCTTTCCCACTCGCATCATTGGTTGCCTTATGCTGACTAGGTAATTCACGCCCACGGTGATCGGTTCCCTTCTTTCTCTGGAAACTAAAACTCGAAACCTTTCCTGTCGTCAATATATTTGCTCCAGCGCCAGTTGTTCTACGCGCTCCCTGGGCTTGAAATGTCTTTGGAACAGAAAAAACCTTTGCGCCCGCTACTTCCAGCTCTGCCTTTGTCGGAGTTTCATGTTGCTCCGCATCTCTCAAGCATGAAGCCGCCGACGACAGCTACCACTCCTTTCAATCATATGGACTCACACGCCCTGCCAAGCTGGTGCGAACCTGGTCAGAGCATATGGGGGGATAATCACGTTGATGCTGCACCGCCGAAACGTGACTGCTGGGTTGAGCATGGGATTATCCAATTCTACTACTGTGCCCCGGTTCTTGATTGTCATACACGGATGCCGCTAGGGGACCATGCCATTCCCAGCCCCCGCCACTCCCATGAAGCAGACCGTCCGCTTGAAGCGGCCTCAATAATTTGTGTGCCACCACTGAGACTATTTCTGGCGAGCCGAATTGTCTCGGAGCCACTGCCCAATATAGTTGAACGGACGCCAGGGACTGATTTATCGACAATGCAAACTATCAACCCTGCGTTGGTCTTTCCGAGTGCATCGACAACTACACCTGAATCCTTCAGTTGTAGAGAAAGCCATCTCACGGCTTCTGAAGCCTGCCCCATCCCCTCTGGTGCTGGTATCTCCTCTACTCGGTTGCTTGACCCGCCAAAGGAGAACTCCGAGAAAATCGACGATACTACCATGTGTATAAGCGACCCTTCACTGCATGACTGTCCCGTCTATCGCAAACAGCCCGGGCATGAATTGGATTTTGAGGACCCAGGATATGATATGCACAAGCGAAAATTCAATTGCACCATCATTGGCTGCAGAAGGGGTTTCAAACGTCAGGACCACCTCGAGCGCCATATAAAAAGCCACTCAAAGGAAAAGCCCTATGTCTGTTGGGTGCCTGGATGCCACCGGGCATTTGCACGCCGTGACAACCTCAAAGCACATTGTACAAAGACACATACGAGACGGGGTGGTCGCAATCGTTATGTTGCTACCCTCGACGAGACGAGCCCCGACTACGATCCAGGGTACCGAGGACAGCTTTCATTTGATGGACTCCCGCTCAGGTTTCCAGCACCTAGCAGCCCCGGGCCTGAAGCTAAGCTTCAACAACCATGAATTTGGGCATGAACAAAGTTCAAGGTCAGATTCTTCCCCATATCAAGCGAACGAAACTAAGTATCTTTAACAGACTCACATCATCCCAACTCGTCTCCTTTCAATAAAGCTGGTGAAGATTATACGGTATAGCACCCCGCCGCCGTGACAATTTTCAAGCTTCTCGATTCTTGTCTTTGCCTATCGGAGTGCTTTGCCTCCAAGCTTGCCGAAGATCTACCACCAAGGAAGCGCGACAACAGCTTCAAGATTCAAATCATAGTATCCAGGTGGGAATAAAATCTCCTTGCAATGCAATAGTAGCCCCTGCAGTTGTGGGGAGGTAGACGGGGCAATCTCAACGTGGATACTCGTTGAGGCGGCCATACGACCGACGGTGATATTTCGTTGACCGGTGACGGGGTATCAGCCCTTCACGACTATTTAGTACGTTGCCAGTTCTTTCTTCTCTGAGTAATTCATGTCTGGTTTACTTTTCTCTCTGCCGCATTGGAAATAATTATCGGCATCCGGCAGTATATCTAAACCTCCAATTAGCCTTGTACCGCCAGTTCGAACACTGTTGTCACCCCCTACAGCAGGGCGGGCAGCCAGTCGAACGAGATGTCGGAATTTAGTCAGAATGGTTCGTATCTCCTGATTTTACGGTCGTTCTGTGCTCACAGCAGACTAGATAAAGACTTCGATCTCAGCATTCGCGAACTCCGGCGAGAGTCTTCTCCTATATCGGCGCCGGTTTTATCTCTTTATGCAGATAACGAAGATGGTGGGCTGGATTTACCAAATGTAGCAGAGCCTGGGGCCCATGAGGCTCAAGGACCGCTCTCGGTCGAATGCTTCTTCCACAGCAACTACGAGGACCAGTCGGGCTTCAAGTGGACTGGTCCGCATCCTCTCTCCATATCTACTCTAACCGATGACCTCTTCCTTTACATTTCAGCATTTTTTCCTTCCGAGGAGGTCTACTGGATAGAGTTCCGACTCGCACGAGTTGATCAATCAACCGGCGAAACGGTAGGAGAGCATCTATTCTTCCTGCCAAGGACTGAAACCATCATGGGAAACTTGCACCGGATGCGTGAGCAGGTGGTGGACATGGTCTCCCAAACTGCTTTTGGAGCCGCAGCCCCGTTTTTCCGATTGTCTTTGTGGCCGCGAATGGAACCTCTGCCTTATTCTGGTCACTCGACCCTTTCCCCGCTAGCAACACTACCCATGATGCCATCTCTGGATCCATCATTTTGTGTAATCTTCCGGTAGACTATAGGTGAATGCAGCGTGACTACATTCAAAGCGCTTGGTGGCTTCTCTCAGGTTTTTCAATGGTAACAAGTATTCAAAGTCTACTTTACACAATATTCTAAGAGATAGTCAGACAAGAAAGTTGAAACTAAGTTTGAATAGCACATTTTTCTTTTTCATGATTTCTGACTTTGATCGATATATCTGTTGACTGTCGTGTACGACATGGCACCCTTCCGTTGGCAGACCCTCACGCGCACCTTTTGATATCCATCAACGCAGCCAGATCACTTCTCGAGCATTGATTCCAGTCCTTGAGAACGCCAATCAGTCGTTCTTGGGTCTGTCCCAAAGCCTGTTCAAAGGAATACAGGCGAGATAGCTGCTCATCTGGACGATGCTGGAGCCCATCTCGCTCGTTGCTCACTTTGGTGATAGTTTCCCTCGAAGTTTTGTCGTTTTCGTCTGGTTTCTCACCTTCTCGGTGTTTCGGCACACAAGAGCCCCATAGACGTCGATAGAGTCCCACGGTTCGAGCCGCTTGAAAGGCGAGTTTCGGGTCATCGCGATCGAGATCTGCTAGTGTCTCCAATGTGGATTGAAACTGCTCGATCGCTAGGGGTTTCTTTGGGCATGCTTCCTGCTGCTATAAGAGAATGTAGTGATCAGCCACAGTATAGAACGTATCGTAGCACATAGCTTACCACTGGGGTTTTGGAATCGGAGATGGCCTGTGGATAGGTCTCATCACTTTGGATAGGTATTTCACTCGGCTGGTGGTCTGCCATATCTTGGTCCGGTAGTTGTTTCGGAGCATCCATCGTTTTCACTTGCAAATATTTAGCGTCCAAAAGTATACCTCCTACCTGGCACTGGTCTCTCTTATAGCCTGTCCAGAGTCAAACAGTTAGTTCAACGCTGTTGCAAGGGTGGCAGGAATCGTTCAAGGTGACTCAATGACCCAATACATGTTGAAGACATCGTTGAACATCTATCTTCAACTATGAATCTGGATCGACTGCTTTCTTTGGTCGATTCGTATATTCTTCGTAGTAACTTCTGAGGGCCCAAAAAAAAGATGCCCGAAGGAAAACTGCTACGTTGATTCCATGGTGACCGTGATGACAATGAAAAATGGTCGATGTCACTACCAGCGTCCTCATCTTGCTACTGTTGAACAACAATAGACTCCGGAATGGCACGGCCGTTTAAGGGAACATACTGTGAATGTGTTTTCCGACCATGCCTACCTTTTGGCGGCCTCTTCGCGCTATTTAGCAACCTCGTCTACGAAGAAACTGCCTCTTGTGCTACGCCAACTTGACCGCAGGCCATTTTGTGGTGCTTCAAGGTGTGGTCGTTGAGTCAACGTTGGGCCGTCCAGTCGGTCAACGTTTCCTCACAATAACGTATCTTCTCGGTCGCCCGCCAGAATGTGATTTGAACGTGTCTTTTAAACCATCAGAATCGAATCCAGGTATCTCGACAGACCTCATTTTACTAGCCATCCGCATAACTGTGCTTGAACGTTCGACACCAACCAAAAGCATGCAAATGACAAACGAAAAGTCTAAAAATACCTCTTCTGCCCACGGGCTTCCGCGCAACAAGACAACTGCACGACTGTTCAACCCGAGCAGCTAAAACATCCAAGGCGGACTAAGTTCATTCTAAGTAGGTTGACCGCGGGCATCTTCTGTACTAACAAAGATAGAATACATCGTGGATCTAAGAGTCAATATCATTTATTTTATATAAATCTTGTATTTATATCTATGAATGGGCGGTTTCAGGCTTGGGAGTAGCACATGGGCCCAAAAAGCAATATGGCGATGTCTAATTGGGACTCTAACTCTCATACCACACGAGTCAAGTTTCCGCGTGCATAATATTGAAGGGCTGTACTCCTTCTACGCATTGAGGTGAATGATTGTCGAGATAGGATTTGCCTGTGGCATGGTGAAGCATTTCAGAGGGCCGGTTGTCAAGCAGCAGGGATTCGTCAATTTGTGGGGCATCAAGGCACCTCGGACGTCTGCGCGTGCTGCATCGCTTACCGCACCACATCCTAACTTTACACAGCAGTCACGTGCCATGATATCGGACCGTGAAACATCCGTAATTGTGGCAACCAATTGAAATCGACTTCAGCATGTCTCTCTCTACCACGTTAAAAGGGGTAAATGACTACGATGCATCCGGAGTAACCATTACCCGTCTCCCTTCTCCGACAATGGACCTCCTCGCGATTCGTTCCACCGCGAGATCATGTATCAATTTTTGTCCCTCTCCCTTACTGCAACTTGAATGAGCATATAGTCCCCCGCTCAGCGTCCGATATCCCGTATTATAAATGAAATTCCTAGAACAATAACTAGTGGCTTTGCGACTTAATGATTGACTTTGAGTGGCTGGCTCTACACTTCTCGAGATAAGCTGTGGCATCGAGTCCAGGCTGGACAGCTTCCTAGCTCACTAAATTGCTAACAACTCACACAAAAGATGGTCTAAGTAGAGCCTCGGAAGATGCAGCTCGTACACTGACCAGTATGGCGAACCTGGCATCGACATTTGGAATCGGGGGGAAAAAAGTCCCTTGACCACCTCGACACTGTACTATGTAAAACCGAGACTTTGCTGCAGTGGAAATTCGAGGGACTGAATTCGAGGGACCGAATGTTGATGTACAAATTGTAGCTCTGACTAGTTAGTGTTCATGGACGGAATGTTTTCCTTATATATATATTGTGCTGGTCGGGTCTCTGCAATCTCGCGTTCCGGAAGATGGACCACACGAAACGGCTTGGTCTTCTTGCTTTAGGGAAGTCTTTAATTCAAGTAGAGTGGCTACGAAATAGAGAGATAAATGCTGATCATCGTGTCGTTTAGCATGGGTGACTTGCACAGAGAACCTCTGCACAGACAACCTCTGCACATTGAGAGGTTCCCATTCACCGCCCGGCTATTCAAGCCCCCCCCCCCCCAGTTTTGTCCAAGACTGGCTACCCTAGACGCCGCCTTCGTCAAGTTTCTGCCGAACCCACTTTTTGTGATTGGCACTCTGCCCTCTAACCGCCGAATCATCACTTTGCCAAGATCGTCTACCATTCACCAAGGTTTCTCCGGACAGCCGAGTGGCCTGCTCAGGAACAACGTGTGCAACGGGCATGGCAGTCAGTGTCGAACCAGGCTCAAACACTCTGCCAGTATTGGAGCGTTCTCTTGGCGCTACAATCGTTTCGGATGTGTCATGGACGAAAGGGTCACCGTCTGCCCACCACTCACGGGAGGGTTCCAGCTCCAGGTCAATCAATCGAAAATCACCACTCGTTTTGGAATGAACGATGCGGCGTACTGCTGCGCGTGTCGCCTTGCTTGCGCACACTAATACCAGTCAGCTTGGCAAAGCCCAAGTGGGTAACCGTGGGAGCGCTCATACCCGAAACCGCGGTCGTTCCGCCTCTACCGTCCCTTAGTCGTGCCAGCTCCCTGTCGATATTGATAGCGTGGAAATGGTATTTCAAGCGCGTACGGTTGCGATAATGAATTCGGTCCACGGGCTGGGTATCTAGAATATGTGTGGTGAACTGCAGGATCTACCACCGAGTTAAGGCTGACCTACAGTAGGGGGATGGAAAATTTACTCACATCGAATCCCCGGTCATCACGGTGTCTATGCTCGGGACAATCGTTTCGGTCAAACATACGGTCGAGTTCGAGGATTTGCGAGATTTCATCCCCCACCCAGCGGGAATGGTCTATTCCGGTAAGCACACGACGCCGCAAAGCATCCGAGAAGGGAGGGAGGGGGGACTCACTGAAATTCTTCAGCCTAACTTGCCACAGGACTTCTAGCCGCCGCACCGTATTCTTCCGGGTTCGGCTTTCTTGAACGAGATGTCGTATGAACGGCAACGCGCGGAAGAGTCCAATATCTTCGAGTACAAAGACAACGGTCCCGTGTTGGCCAAGACTAGGTGGATGCCCATACGGACCCAGCACGCAGACCGGAAAATGAATCGTCGAGGACGTCGCATGATCTGCAGCTTGTGCGATCCTTCCAGTCACGCCCGGTCGGGGCCGGGTCACTATGCGTAACATGCGAGTGGTGGGTGCTCCTGGCGTATTGTGCACTGTGTCCACGGACGCCACGTAGAATGCTGGAAGCTGCAAGGAGGACCTCACGCCTAAGCGTGGCATCCAGAGCTGTACATACTGCCCCGGTTGAGCCACCCACTCCATGGGCACCGCAATGTCAAGCCATAAGAGCCGGTTGAAAGACCGCGCGAGCGCCCGTCGAGAGGTGATACGCCACGACCTGTGGAACCACATGGTATGCAGACATGTCCCAGCACTCCAGCCCAATCCGGTGCAAATACCGCCCAGTAGAACCCAGCGGTAGGCCGATGCGCGATCGATCAAATGGTAGGCAAGGGCGCCGGTGGCGATGGAAGCAAGCACATGGTGGACCTTGAGGCCGAGTTGGGGCCAACGTCGAAGAATCGCAGCGAGCGTCCAAGGCAGGATCGACAGGAGACTACAACCAGCCTGTTCAACATTAGCCACTTTTCTTGCTAGCATATCGCTGAAAAATTGGGGATGCTGCCGTTCTCCGGCCCGCTTCACGCACCACGAGCGGAATGACGAGGGGAGCTGCAAGTCTTGTATTCCGAGCGACTGTGCCTAAGACGGACCCATGAAGCAGGCAGTGCAATGCGCAAATGCGGCCTAGCCACCGATGGGCCCATTGCACCGTGCCCCGTTCCACGCGGTAGACATGGGCCGGGAGACTGAAGCTAAATCCGGAGTAGAGGGGAACAAGATGTGTGACCGCCAAGCATCCAGCTCGCTTCTGCACTTCCGCCCATGATCGAACATGAACGCTGACTGCAATGATGTTGGCAATTACCAGGGCCGCAACTATCCCCCCTTGCAAGTATGATGGGATATCCAGCCGCTGGAGCGGGCCTGGTGTTGGCGCTTGGAAAAAACGTCTCCAGGATATCGCGTGCTGCAACCTCAAAAGCCCGTGGCTGTATCGGCGCCCGAGGCTATAAGATAGCCAACAAACGAGAGCGAGGAGCCCACAGAAGCTGAAAATATCTTGGACGGAAGCTCTCGCAAGCCATTCGGCAAACTTTGAGGCGAGGCGGGGCATGCTTTTACGAGAGGCAGCACTGGACGTTAGCAGGTTTATATACTGTTTTTTCAGTGGTTGTTCAAACAACGCTGACCTAGTGCTTTCATTTGGACAGTCAAACGCAGCTTGGGGGGATCATGCGGCAATAATCGACACTGGTGAGAAACGATCAGAAGGCTCATATTATGGCTTCTTAGGATCAGGCGACAGATCAACAGTAGTGATACACCATATGTCGATGGCAAAAGGTGCGTACCGCAAAACTCATGTTCAACGTTGAACCACAATTCTGCGGCTCCCATGTGCCTACAATATAATGCGGTTACCAATTATTCGTCATTCCAGTTCCAAAAATCGAAGTCGGTCAATATGCTGAGATGCAAGGTCGTTTTTCTGATTAGGTGGTGCTGTCTTTGTTAAGAATACCAGGGAGGCGCCCGCTGCCAGCAACGGTGAGGAAAGCGCAAAATAGAACGTATGCAGGATCGAGCAGGCTATTGATTCTATATTTTCTAGTCTCTTTCCGGCCGAGCAACTCAAACAAACCAGTTGAGTGCATAAAGCGGACGGGGTGCAATGCGATCTCGACACTGCCGTAGAAGGCGAAGTGGAACCTACCGTGTGACCTTCCACCTGGGGTTTGCTAGGTAGGTTCTTTTAACAGATCAAGTCATCTTGACCATCGATGCAATCAGCCGATGACTTGAAGACGCAAAGAGCGTTTTTTATATAAGGCGGCCATGTTGCAGCAAAGCAAACATGCCTTTGAGCTGCATTTCCAACAGAAGGTTAACTTAGTCTAGATTCTTGTATCGGGACCCTGGTCTGCAAGCCTCAGGAGAAGCTGTGTTCATATACATGATTGAATCTCTCATGCTTCTTTCCCTACTTTGGAGCGCCCCCAGATGCGAACTGGATCTAGATGGAGAGGAGAAATGGCTGAAGACGAAGCATATCCCTCTGATCCAACGGCGACCACCAGCAAGAACAACTCTCTGTCAAACAATCTGAGTTTTCCTTTGAATTTTTGGTAACTTACAATAAATTCAAGAAAGAGATTGGACAACATAATCAGATCATATGCCAACAGCGTTGCTGCGAGCCACCAACCCCTCCAACACCCACCCTAGGAGTGAGTGATGGGTTTATGAGAAGAGGTGACCTGTATATGAGAAACTTCTAGGAGCTCAGCTAGAATGGCCGCTTTTTCACTACTCGACCTTTCGAGTCTGAACACGAGCTTTGCCCTAATTAGCCATGATTTTCCGCTCATTTGTTTAAGCATGGAGGAAACTGAATGGTTGGTCGAGGTATCAGATTCACTTGCGTGTATCTTGAAGTTTGTCGGGTCCACTGCGGAATATATCCAGATAAAGCCGTTGGAGTACTCGAAAGAAGCGGCACTCGCGTTCCATTTCGATATCAGCGTGTTGAATAACGGCCCGAAGATTGTGACTGGAAGGCCAACACAGACATATGCTGGCTCATCGAGGCTCTCTGGACGCACTGCCTTGAGTACCAACCCGGCCTCCTCAGTCAACTTTGAATCAATAACAACCGAGTCTGATACCCAGAATTCAGTTGACCAGCTATTGAAAACAGGACGGACTCTCTCCAACAGGGAACGCCGGAGGCGAATGAGGCTACCCCGGAGACTTTCCGTTTGGTTCTCCTTTTTCGCACCGAGAAGGATAATCTTTAGGTTCGCTGAATCTGCTGTCTCCAGAATTCCAAGCTGATAGTTGTGCGGTTCCAGGTTCGTGAGCTGTGCTTGAGGAAAGACATGAACGATGCTATCTTCGATAGAAACGAATTTGCCTCGGCTATCAGCTTTGTTTGGTGGGTGACATTGTGGAACCATGGTGGAAAAGAGTGTGGTGTTGATACTCTGGCCACAGAGCTTTGACTGTTCCCACTTCCAAACGAGCTCCTCGGTCTGTGAATATATGAAAGGGGCTTTGATGACCGGGATTTTCGAGGAGCGATCAATATGGCGAACCTGCTTTCTGCTGCATTTAGCACCTTTCAAATGGTCATTGGAATTCAAAAGACGTACGCTTTCGCACGCCGGGAACGCGAGAAAAACGGACGTTTGATTACTTGTAACATCAAGTGCTGCATCAAACAGTCCTTCTCCCCAGGAAGAGCTTCCGGTAGCAATCCGCATATACTGGTCTTCTTCGACGGTTAGGTGCAGAATCAGCGCTGATCTGCTCGAGTTTGGCGATGATATCTGTGTATGGAGCTGTACCGAGAGGCCTTAGAGGGATTGGGGATACAGGACAAGGCAATCTAATGGGATCAGGTGGAAGCAAGGGTTTTTCTATCACAACTTGAATGGGTTCAATGGAACCTAAAAGAGCTTGCATTTTCACAGGGGCTATCCGGGTGACAGTTCAAATCGCAAATGTTGATAAACTGCCTAATATCACGTGCTCATTATTGGTCAACACTTCTCGCTCAACGTTCAGTATGAGCTGTTGAACATAATTATTCACATAGCCAGAGACTAAGGTCTAGGTGAATAGGGTTAAAACATCTAATTTGGTCACCCGACGTACACACAGAGGAATTATTTGATTTTCGAGAAGCTTAGAAGAACATCAATCTGCCTTGATATTGTCGTTGAAAACCCGGTCAACTTATTTGAAGATTTATTCTGATCATTAAGAGGGGTGAATCTCTGGCTATGGCTGAAACTGTAAGGAACAAAACTGAACTCCTTCAATGAGATGCTTCCAGACTTAGATTGTGACTGGATTTCCTAGGATTTATAGCTTCAGAAGGTGTAGATGCTGGGCACTAGCCCACCCTTCGCTACGGCGCGAAATCAGACGCATGCAGTTAACAAGAGAAAGGCTACTCAGATTGGACATTGGAAACATGATACTGAAAACGTATCGATTGGGATACTTGATATTCCCCGCGAATGTCCATAGGGCCAAATATAGTTGGAGGAAAAGTAGAATCACGAGGCCATTTGGTAAATAGCGATGACATTGCTTCGCACGCGTCAACATAGGGACAGCTGCCTAGCTGGAAAATGGAGATATGCACAGCTTCAATTTCAAGAACAGATCAAGTCTCCTCGGCCATACCATTTACACGCGGCTTTTCCGGCTCCCAGGACCGCCATAAGACCAAATACTGTACAGCAGAACTATCACCCTGGTGGATAACGAGTTTGGCAATGGTGCCTATCGGTATTTTCTGGCCAATCTGGGGACGTCAGCTTATTCCCCGAGTACGATCTCCTCATGCAACTTACAAGATCCGAAGAGCCATTGTCTTGCACGTCGGGGCAGTGTTGGCTGTAGTCGGAAGACCCAGAGGATCTGTTCGAATAGGGCGATTGATCTCCATCCGACACCACGAATGTGCGGTCTTCACTCGTTTCCGAGATATCATCCTCCGAGGACTCAGAGTTTGAACCTTGCGTTTCAGAGTCATTGGGCTCACTGTACGAGGACATGATTTCGAAAAGTTCATCTTCCTCTTTCGCAGCCATCATAGGTAGAGTATGGTGCCTTATTCTCTCACAACAGATATAAAAAGAGTGTATTTTTCTCTTCAATCCTGGTGCGACGCCCACTTATGTAGCTCAAGAGTCTATTCGATTATGCTTTGACCATGTTTAACTCATGTTTGAACGACTGAGGCATGTTCAAAAGGCCGGTGAAAGCCCCGATGATATGCGAGTGAAATTTGCCACTGCTTATGGCTCAAAGATAATAGCATGTTGATTCAACTGAATACCTACTAAACACGTCTGTCGACCCAATTAGGCGTTGAGAATCGTTGACGTCATTGATTTTCACTGCTCAAGATACCCCCAATGTATCTCGCAGGGTTCATTTACAACCTGACGATCCCGAACCCTGTGAGAGATAAACTATTCGAAAGAATTATCAACGGGGATGTGGTGAGATATTTTGCAACGTTGGCCCACGTTGAGACTGGGGGCCACTGGTGGTTCAGTTCACGGGCTATTTACATTCTTGACGTTTAAACTTACCATCTCGAATTCACCATCGATAGTTCCCCAAACTGGTCAAATAATGCATCAGCTTCAACACTCTAGGCAAAAGAACGGACGCATTAGTCAAAAGGTCACGGTATGTAACTAACGTTTGACGCGATGACTGATTCCTGGGACGCATTGGTCACTTACCAACAAAAACCTAAGTTAGCACCAGTCTCGCTTGCTTTTCTCATGATTCTGTTTATTCTGGCGGCTCTCTTCGTCAGTACTACACCCCTCCAGCGCGATGTCTGCAATTGGGACCGCCTCACCTTCGTCGTCAGCCCCAATCTCGCGATCTTCGGTATGTCATCACCTGGAGCCAGTCAACTGATTCTAAAACTAATTTACGATCTTAAAGCCATTCACTGGCTCTTCAAGCATTGGCACGCTGGAAGACCGGCCCAGAGATCCCCCGGCAAACCTCACGCGGTTTGCACCCGACCGCCGAGATTGGGTGCTCTACGACACCGCTCAGAACAACGAATTTCTATTGTGGTGGCTGGAGACCGACTATGGGCGACGGCTGACCAAAAATGGACGATACAATTTCAGATGGTCGGTTGAGTCGCGTTCCTCCAAGGTGTGGAAGCACTTTGACCAGGTGGCAGAGCTCAGGTCTGGTCGACCCAGGGTAATTTGCCGGTCTTGCTTCACGCCGCTTAATCACCCACATCACCCACATCACAAATCCCATGGAACAAGTACTATGGGTAAGCACTTGAAGTCCAAGTCATGTCGCAGAAGCGTGGAGAAGGAGTCCGTTCCTCCTGCCACCCCAGGCCCAACCCAGGCGGCCCGTGCGAGCTTCCCGCCCATTGGGAGCAGAGTTACCAAGACACAGCTCAAAGAACAGCTTCTGCGGACAATCACGTCGGCACACCTTTCTTTTGAGCTCATGGAAGAACCCACATTCCGAGAATTGTTGGATCTAGTCTATGCCGGACCTCAACTTTTGGAGATTCCCTCATCAAAGCAGCTCCGCCAGCATATGCACGACATGGTGACCACCTACCAAGAGTCACAGCTGCAGGACCTGCCCGGAGATTCCAAAGTATCGATTGCTTTGTGCTGTTGGAAAAGTCCGCTCGGGCAGGATTTCATGGCTATCACTGCGTATTACTTTGACAAACAGTGGAGCTACCGAGAGGTGCTGCTTAGATTCGAGCTACTTTGCAGGCTCGAGACAGGGACTGACCCCGGCGATCAAATCCTTGGAGTCATTGAGGAAAAAGGGCTGCTTCGTCGGATTTTCAGCGTCACGATCGACTATAGGGTCGATGAGAATCTGGTGCTGTCATTACAAGAGAAGCTCATTTCTTCTGGTGGGCTCAGCTCTTGGCAATGTTTTGTTGGGGTTCCTGGAACAGTGCAGGCCATTCAGCTCTGTCTTCGGCGGTATATCGAAAACATCACAACCTCCCCAAAAGGGGAAAGGGTTGAGAATGTCCGCGCAACATCACACGCCAATTATTGGGCCGACCCTTCAGATGGCAAAGAAATAACGCGCGTTTTGGAAAAGGTGAATGCATTTTATCCTTCTGACTAGAAAAAAATCTGACTATTGCATTTTGCAGATTCGATCATTTGCAAAATTTGTTAATGAGACCCCTCGGAAGCGCGATGAATTTTTGTCTCTTCAGCCCGCAGGAATTCGACTCTTGCCGTTAGACGATGCGAACACCCGATGGAATTCGGTCTTCCTGATGTTGAAACGAGCCGGCAGACTGCGAAGATTTATCGACCAATACTGCCAACAGAGTGAGGATTTACAGTACAAATTAACAGACACGGATTGGCGCAAGGTCGACTACCTTGTCCAGTTGATAATGCCATTCATCCAGTTCACTACGGCCCTGTTGGTCTCGAAAGAGGCAACGGTCCACAAGGTCTGTTTCGTGTTCAAGATACTAATGGACCATCTCGACAAGTCAACCCAAATATTGAGAAGAAAATCAACTCCGTGGAAGCGCAAACTACTTGAGGCATCGCTTATCATGAAGATGGAATTTGGAGAAATATACGAAAAGACATTCAAAAGCTTTGGGGTCATGTATGGCCCTGGAACTCTCGTTGCTCCCCAATATAATGTGTCCGCATTCGACGAGGCCACATCATCGCAAGGTTTGGGCGGTCCCGAGCGCTACATCGAGTATCTGAGGATCTTTCACCTACAGTACCGACCGCAAATGCCCACGAGCTTGTCTTGTGTGAATGGACTGTCGTGTTCCCCGCAATTGTTGGGGCTTGACCGGCTTTTGCACCCACTAGCTGGTCTGGCGGGTGGCTCAAGGAGTGGACAAGATGAAATTGATCAATATCTCCGCGAAGGTCTGAACAATCCCTCCGAATGTTTTCTGTTGACTACTGACACACAACAGGGGTCGTTAATATCTCTCCCAGCGCGTACTGGAAAGACCATCAACGCGAATGGCCTGTTCTCACCCGACTGGCTCGAGATCTACTCTCCATTCAGGCTACAGGAGCTGGCGCGGAACGACTTTTCACCGTTGCACAAAATATCTGCCACAGTCGTGGGGGACCTCTGGATGAGTCGACCATGCGCGACCTGGTGATGTACGCGTACTCGGAGGGATCCGAATCAGGGAAGCAATTGATTAGCCGAGTGGGACGTGACACGGCAAGTGATGAAGAATGGGAGGAGTTCGAAGAAGAGGCAGAAAGGCCTGAACCGATCAGCGACGACGAGTGGAGTTCAGGCGAGATGAGTGTTGACGAGCGCTCGGAGGATGACGGAAATAACCAGGCAGCCACAGTGATACTGGAAAGCCCACCGACAGATGTTCTGGAGCAGGGTCGGGCGGATAAAGGCGAACACTCATTCCTGTCTCCGCCTGTCACGTGGCTCATTAATAGCATCCGAAGAAAATTCTTAGGCGGAACGACAGTGACCCAGTAGCGTGCGTCACCGATTTCGTCCAGTCTTAATCTGCTACTATTAACCAACCTGACTTGCCTGTGAGAGCAGTGCGCGCGCACAACCAAGTCTTTATCCTTTATCCAAAAGCTGCACCCCCTTGCAGGAGGAAATGTCGGGTCAATCCATTATGAGAGAACTGCATATGGAAGATCCTCCAATTCACAGTTCTGAGATTTAGTACTGCTAGAGTCATTGGGATTTATGACAGAGTTGCGTTGCGATGCGATTGGCCAGCACCCATTCCCACCACAGACCATCACAGATGCACCCTAATGGTAGTCTAATACCGAAAAAAAAAAGCAGGGAATTGAGTTCGGTAGCATTGACCTGCCGCCCTCAGTCAGATCCGACATTTCGGTTCTGGCACGCGAGAAAACGCGACTGTCTCAAGCAGAATCATGCACGGAGGTTGATAAAGTCTCTGATATACTTGTAACTCTTCGATGTTCATAGCTATGTTCATTTGCCTTGACTACCATATAGGCTAGATACATAGCGCTGGTAAAAATCGTTGTTTTGATAGATCAACAAACACCAGCCCACCAACAATCGCTGCTGGAGTCCTCGGTGCCGGGCCGCGACCAATGAACAACCCAGCTGTCAATTCAAATACTCGAGGAGCCTAATATCTGCCTTTGGTCACAAACTGGTGCTGATAGACCAGTCTAGCTGCCGTTCACGTCAAGTCCCAGGGAAATGGGGCAGGCCATTGTCTGGTACGCGGCGCTTGAAATTCATGTCTGTGGTTCCAGTTAGTGTAGCGTTCCTCCTGCCTGTTCCAGCCTTCCCTCAGTTTGCTTTCTGCCACATTCTTACTGCCACACAAACGAGTAAAGTCATCTCTCGGAATCCAGGAACAATCTCCTTCAAGTAATCCCTTATCTGCCGTCACGATATTTCTCCACTTAATTTTAACCCAGACGCTTCTTCGTAGCTTATAGACTCGGTCTGGGAATTTTCTCTCTTCGAATGCAACTCCGCAAATCCCGAGAACATTATCTTTTGAATACCGCCAATGCTTTCCGCGGTCGTTGGAATCCCTCAGTTGAGTGATTCGAACGTCAAAATTGGGAGGATTTCTTCCATCGTTGATATCATGGCCGTCTGCATACTTTGCGCTGAACTTGGCCGCGAAGTCCGGACCGTACCGGAATATAAATATCGGTGATCGCCGAAAAGTCCCAAAGCCGTCCACGATCCCACCATTGTCAGTACTGGCCTCACAGTGCATGATAAGGTTTAAATCAACGAGAATATCCGGTTCCCTAGACGCAAGGTCACTGGCGATACTTGGGGTTGAATGACGTCGGGACAATGACATGCTTGCTTCAACCGGTCCATGTGTGGTTGGTCTGGTATGCCCGTTTCTTTCTGCATCGTACGAATCGTCTTCTAGGATACCAGCGTATTGGCCGTCTGCGCCAAATCTGAGGAGAACACCCACAAGCTCTTTCTTGTCGTTGACTGCAAGCCAAAGTGCTCTGTTCAGTTGCACTTGGGTAGCATGGGGGCCTATACGCTGCAACAATGCCTCCTTCGTTCGGCTTTCGCCAGTCACAATACATTCCAAGACAGAGAGGTTGAAACTGTTTGTGGCTCGCATGTCCGCCCCGCGATCAACCAGGCAGTGGACGACCTCGTCTCGTCTGAGATGACACGCGTTCATGAGCGGAGTATAACCTAGGCGATCTGTATCGTTGATTCTAGCTCCAGCGCTAACCAGAATATTCACAATGGTCGAAGACGAGATCGTAATAGCATAGTCGAGTGGGGTATTTTGAACGTCGTCAGGCCGATTGACAAATTCCACCCGATCGAATTCAGGCATGTTTTGAGCTATAGTTCCAATTTCCTGGACCACAGTGTGAACATGTTTGAGGACAGAGATGTGCAAAACTGTCATGTGGAGAATATTCGTATCGAATAGTGCGTGAGGGCATTTTCGCAAATATCGACAAGCTACCTCTTCAAATCCAAGCCCAACACAACTGTGCACAGCCGGCTGATCATATCTAGCTGATTCTAGGATGATATCTCGAAGCTGCTCTTGGGGCCAATGGCTATCTTCAAATAACTCCACAAGTGTCCCGAGATCTCTCAATATTGGCTGTTCGGATCTGGCGCAGATCGGGACGATGATTCGAAGCCATTTCTTTGGCCACGTTTTCTCGAACTATGCAACAAGATGGCCAAGGCTTTGTAGTGATGGTCTTGCCTTGCTTTCGATGAAGCCGATCAGAGCCTGAAACAGATCCCATCGACAAAATGCGAATGAAACCAAATCCTCCGTAGATAAATGATCTAGGACATCATATAGCAACTCGGTGGGGAGCTCAAGTATCTTTGCTGGGGAATGAGTGCCATAGAGTCGCTCAGATTTGACATGGTCCTGGCTTTGGACAATCTGCTGGTTTTGTTTATGAACGCTCTGTATCAGGTGCTGTTTGGTGTCTGGCGTAGGTGATATCAGTTTGCGGGTACCCATCCCGCAGCCGACTTATAGGTCACAAAGTATTGAATCGATAGTCGCAGGAGGTGAGGCTATTGGGGAGGCTTCTGACAATACCTGCAAGTCCGTGATCATGGAAGGGTCTTAAGCATATATACCGTCTGTGGTTCTGATTGATCTTCTGACCATCTATCTGCCCCAGAACCAAATGGCCATCCGTGAAATGCATCAGATTGTGGAAGCCTTATTATTGCTAGAAACATCCGGCAGGTCTCGCCTCAACTTCTCAACGCGCGAACGGTGATAATTTGATTTAACTAGACAACGTTTCACTATTTTCATGCGGTCCAAAAGCATTCAATAATAGCGGACACGACTCTTGAGCACCACTGGTGTCAAGTGCGGCGATAACCGTCCGCCACTTTACCCGCGTTGAGGCAGACGCAGAATTTAGACCATGCTGGAACTTGGATATTCAACCAGTCAGCTTTTCATCGGGCTTGATACTCACGCTTAAAAGCGAACAAAGAGATGAATAAGCCTTGTTTTATTATTTTTCTACTCAACCCCCTCCCTTTCTACCGTAGCTTTATTTGAATCCGGTGTGCCAACCCTCAGTAACTTGATTTGTCAGAATATTTGAACACCCACCTCGCGAAGACAAAATCAATAACGATTTAAATTGACGATATCCATCACCTTTGCAATTTGCGTTGCTACACAGGCCTTTTCTAGCACATATGAGGGATGTGCATCTTCAACACTTGCTATACGAAGAGGAAGATCCCAAATATCTCTAAAATCCTCCATCTTTCCACTTCCTTGATGAGCAAATAACCTCTAGTTATTCTCTCTTCATATCTCCTTTTCGGAGTGCCTGCGATCACTATGGCAATTCCTCCTCGCTCCTTGACCATCATTGACGGTGAATTTCAACGCCTAAAAGGCATCAAAGAGATATGCTTTGATGAAGACATTATGGCATTTCTTCAGGATGCACAGGCAACACTCAAATACAAAGGGATATACAACCTGCGAGGACCTTTCAAAAGGTCTCTCATTCACTATGCTGCAATGGGTGACTGTGCCGAGCTCCTTCTTTATCTCCTCCAAGATGGGACAGCCAAAGATGACCTCGATCAGAACAAGCGGACGCGACACTAGCAGAGTGCGCACACGGACCTATAAAACAGACACAGAGGGTTCTATCGACCTCCTAAAGTAGGGGTGAGGAACGAGTCAACCGGATTTACGAAAAAAAGGCAGTCGCAGAATTTGATGATGATTTCGAAAAATGAGAGAGGTGGAGTCCAAAAGCATTAGAGAAGTTCGATGAAAACGGTAAAGGAATGGACTCTACTGCAGATTTGGTGAGATAATTTACCAGTTGAATTTCTTGATTGAAACCAAAGCATGTTCATCGCTTGATCTGACTAGCTAACTAATCGTAGCCAATATTGGAGCAGTATGCTGGGTGGCTTGATGTAGCAAGTAGGTGATGGTTGACGACCTGCTCTGCGTAAATATCCATCAACCTTGGTGGCATCAACCTTGGTGGCCGTCAAGATTTCAAAAGCCGACCAGAGAATAATGTGAGCTGCCCAGGGATCACATAGACCCAGGAAATCGTACGTAACTTGTAGACTCTCCATTCCCCCCCTCACAAAATCAGTCACGCCCCTGTTGACAGCTCTATCAGCCCTGGGAATGCACATCTTGGCCCAAGGAGTTCCCTTGCTCCCGGAGGCTTTAGTGCAGTTTCTGGGGGCAAAGAAGCAGCTTCTGGGAGCCACGCAGCCCCCAGGAAATCCGACGTAGCTTCTGGGGTCTTGTACTTTCACCTCGGGGAACCAAGGTCATGTTCCTGTTGACAGATTCACCAACTCCTGGAACCTCAAGTGCGGTTCCTGGGGCTATGGCTTAGCCTTTCCGGGAGTAGCAAATTACGCAGATTTGTGCGCAGGCCTGGTGAAGGTGTCTTGTGAGGGCTTTCCGCGACCTCAGAAGGCAGCATATTGATTCTAGGATCCAGAAGTAGGGTCCCAGGAGCGCGGCAGCTCCCAGATCCAGCCATCGTGTTCCCCAGACCAGTTCGTATTCAAGCAGGATCGTATAGTGGAGATCCTAGGGGTAGAACTCGGTTCCTGGAAACGGGAAATGGCCCCAGGAGCTAAAGAGGAGTTCCCAAAGAACAAACAGCCCCCATAATTGCATTTGGTGTTTCCAGGCTTTATGTGTTAGTTCCCAGAGGCAGATTACCAATGATTGTCGATTAATATAGATGAGCTGGTTTTGTTACGTCGTTAGGCGGTACGGATAGAATTGTCGAGACTCGCCTGCCGACCTGCGAGCAGTGTTTTCTGCCAAAAATGTACGCTTCGCGCTCCACAAGGCTCGGCTGAACTCGCTGTCGGCATTACTTTGGCCGCCGCCGTTAGGTATGATGTTGTACAAACGAATTTTATCTACTGGCTCTCGGTTCCGAGCCAAGACATACTTATCTCAGATGAGGAAAACATCCACTAGCATTTTTAGGCTAATCAAAAAATAGCACTTGCAAATGCGAATCGGTCGCGTAGTGCTCTGAAGTCAAACGATCAGGATTTCATTCATTTGGTTGCTAAGCTTGCTCCAAAACTCCATATCTCTGTTGCTGGTCCGAATGCCGCGGTCTGGTCACGTGATGTCACGTGCATCAGAACGCTGCATCGCTAATCTAATCTCCAAGTCTCATTCGCTGTGAAGGATGATCAATTACGCTGTGGAATTCAGTCGTGCCGACCGGCGAAGCGGTGCAGAGGTAGACGGGTCTCGCGGTAGATGAGCCACTGCCACTCTGGCTGAACGACGGGGCCCACTCTGCTCGACTGACACCCGTGGGGATCCCATTGTTCGCTGAGGCAGCTGACTCTGACGAGGTTCGTTTGGTGCTGGCTCTCTATCGGTTGACGGCTCGCTTACCGAGGGGACTCGGAGTGGACGAATCAAGGCGTCTAGACTTCCTTCGTTTCGACTGCATTTATCAGCATCCCGACATTGCAGAACTGAGATCATCTATACTTACCACACACAGCATGACGTGCCAAAGCCTGTTCGTCGCTTTTCCAACCACTCTTCCGCGCAGCAAAGATGGGCCTGCGCTCGGCATTGACCGCAACGCAGGATCACGCATTCGGTTGCTTGTTCCTCGTCCTCCACCAAACAAAACACACAGTGAATGTCGTCGACATCTTCACTCAAGCTGAGATTCTGCAGCGACAAGTCCTGGACACCGGCCCAGATATTAGTGACCGAGGTCAGGATAGCGGGTCGAGCCGGCGAAACGTGCCATGATACACTGTTGGTCCGCAGCATTTCGGCAGTCACAAAGGGATTGATTGATTGCACTGGCGCAGGGCTAGTCGACAGGGGCACCGTCGGGTCTTGTCTGTTGTCTGATTCCGCCAGGCGTCTGCTGGAGGCTGGCGACATCTGACGCTGGCGCGGATGCACAATGGGTGGAGTAGCAACTCTAGAGTCATGAGGCACTCGCGCCTGGTTGCGGACGGCTGCTTCATACCACTGCTGGCCAACTTGTTCGGCCTGCCGCTGCCGGTGCCATCTCGCGCAGAGGAACTCTTTGGCAATAGCGCAAAGCTTGGATTGCAATGTTGACAATTGGAACGGCTCTCTGGTGAGAGTGTTCAGCTTTTGATGGCCTATCTTGGTGTCTTCAAGTTTGATCGAGTTTTTGCACGGAGCGCCTTTCTTTGTCATCCCGCAACAGAAGCTAGGACCGTCATTGGGGCTGACTTCTATCTCACAAATAAGAAACGGATTCCACGGCAGTGTGGTGAACATTGATGCGATCTTCAAAGGTAGAAGATTTCTCGGATTGTTGGTGCTGTTGGGCGTTCTCTGCGGCGTTCCCTCGCCAGCTTTATATGCCATCGCCGTAGGCTCCTTGCCTACATGTCTGCGTGGCTGCTGGCATGGAATGCTTTCTTGAAACGTCGATGCGTCGACGAATGCATCAGAATGCAGTGTGTGCTAGTATAGGCCGATCAGTGGCCTGCGAGAAGAGATATTATTCCAGATCACTGCTGCCCAGTTCAGCTACAGTTGTGGCTGTGGATTGCGATGAGCATGCATTGGCAGAAGGATTGGCAACTTTTGTTGGTAGCATAGTCGGCAAAATTGAGAGTTGCATCCCAAAAGTCCGAAGTGCATGCATCTTGTGATTCGCCTCAACGCTTATGGCGATAGATGCGTTAAGTGGTACTAAGACAGATTCTGTCTCCTGGGGCCCTTCACACGCCACCAGGAACAACTTTGGTGTTCCCAGGAGCTAGACTCTAGAGATTCTCTACAAACATTGTGGGCAAGGCTTTGATGCTCCCGTGTGATTGCTACGCACCTCCCAACGGAGCCACAGGCTACGCTCCTAGCGGACCATGAGATTTAGCCGAGGCGAGTATATAAAGGCCTCCCATGTTCTCACATCTCTCACATCACCCTCGCCTACGCTTCATTTGCTTCTAGCTCCAATCCGCTGTCCAATTATGGTCTGTTTCAATTCATTCTTACCGGGCTTACCGATGAGCTAATACATTATAGCCGAACATCAGAGACCTGCCCAACGAGCTTTTGCTGTGGATTGTGTTCAAAGACGACAATGTTAATCTTGCGGCGGTTTTGCTCCAGCACAATGCCAACATCAATGCCTTTTACCGAGGGAAAACACCGTTGATGAGGGCGTTTCAATACTCTTCCGCTGCAATGCGCGAGCTGCTGCTCAATCGTCGAGAGCTAGACCTCAACATTCATAATCAAGCGCGCGAAACCGCGCTGTGGTATGCCATTCACTATGGAAATTACTCCATGGTCCAGAGACTTTTAGAAACGGCGCTCCACCTAGCGGTCTTCACTGGCAGGATAGAGTTCGTACATCTTCTGCTGTCAAGAGGTAGCAACCCTGATCTACAGGATGATTCAGGCGACTCGCCGTGGGCCTGGGCACGTCAATTCAATAGACCCGTGATGAAAATGATTCTTTCCAACGACCCCGACTCCGACTTGTTTCTTGGAACTCAATCAGCACGGGACGCTCCGCTACCGCTGCATCAAGCAGTCGCGCATGGTTCTGTCGCCGCTGTCCGGCGGCTTCTAAGACGAAAAGACCCGGTGCTAGACACCCAGGACCGGAAGGGTTATACGCCGATCCATCTCGCCATCGAATGCAATCGCCCTGAAGCGGTCGATTTGCTTCTGAGTCACCCGCGTGCCAATGCGAACTGCAAAGACAAAGATGGAAATACGCCGCTTTGGCTTTCTACGTACTCGTCTTACTATGAGATAACCGAAAGGCTGTTGGCCGACAAAGACATCGACGTTAATCTTATTGGGGGCCGTGGGAGATTCGAAATACCGTCTACATCTCTACACCACGCCGCGGCCAGATTGGATACCGTGCTTCTACGACGGCTGCTTGCGGTGCCAGAGATCGATCCGAATCTATGCGTTGCAGGTCACTCTCCAATCTCCATTGCCGCATGTCACGGACGCGTGAACACGGTTGCTTGTCTACTGAATATGGGGAACGTGGAGATCAATGGGAGGGGTTCAATAGATCCGCCACTTTGTCGAGCGGCTACACACGGCCATCACGATGTGGTCAGGCTATTAGTGCAACAAGGCACACGTCTGAACATCAATGAAAGCACGATCGCA